ATTTTATACACACGACTATCTCTTTCTCTCGCCTTATATGTCTTTCTCTCGCCTTACATGCCTCCATACAAGCTTTTTAGTACAGCGAGATCATACTCCTTGAGTATGATCAAATTTTTTTACACCACAGGATATTTTACCGGTACAATTTCACACACGCATCCCATAAAAAGTCTACCCCTACACTTATATTTCTTAGGTTCAAATTTATACATATGCAAGTGGTTTTTTATTTTTTATTCTTAGGCTTATCAAATACAACACATTTAGGGACTATTGTGGTATAAATTTATTACTAGGATAGCAATATGGTTCTCATTACCTATATCTAAACTTAAAAAGAGCAATGTGGTTTATAACTGCTCTTCTTTGACTTGTATTATTGGCCTACCAACGAGCTCGTTTCTTTCGGCCGTACAAAGCGCACGATCGTAAGACTCTTCTAGTGAAAAGCGCTCTGAGGTCCGTTCATAATTTTCAACAATAACGTCGAATTTATTTCGTAAAGTATGATTCGGTGATTCTTGTTGTTAAAACACTCAATGTGCGTTCATACTCTTCTAATCTACGACAATAAAAGTCTGGCGAGTCACAATGAGTGCGACTTTGTTCAGCATTTCTTATTAAATCAACCAATTCACGAAAAGAGTTTTCTGTATTAGGAAGCCAAATGCGTGGTCCAAGAGACGCCATTGTTGTATGTCGCCGCGTCGCTCAACTTCCGTTTTTCCGATTTACTTCCGCTTCCTCATCTTTTATTGGTATTTACTTCCGTTTCCTCATCTTTTATTGGTATTTACTTCCGTTTCCTCATCTTTTATTTGTATCGGTTTATCTTTTAGTTGTATCGGTTTATCTTTTAGTTGTATCGGTTTATCTTTTAGTTGTATCGGTTTACCTTTTATTTGTATCGGTTTATCTTTTAGTTGTATCGGTTTATCTTTTAGTTGTATCGGTTTATCTTTTAGTTGTATCGGTTTATGACATCGATGTATTTGCACATAACATCAATGTATAGCACATAACATCAATTTATAGCGCATAAACTCGATTGATACATTTAAGATATTTTGTCCGCTAAAAAACTTCATATGAAAGCGACGACATTGGAACAACGAAGATAAGAAAGGACCTCTGTTTCAAGTTAATATCCGATCGCGATATGACGGAAGAACCTCGTATAAGCTTAATCATTTGCTTCCTCCAAAAAGATCTGAGGTAACGGAATTGAAACACTAGAGCGAACAAAAATGTTTTTATAACGTTTATGGTAGAACTAATATATTTAGAAATAGCCCGTTTTTATACGCTACATATTAAGATTTTTAATACCATGAACAACAGTTAGGGTAGTACATATTAATTGTAATTAAATTTTATAATAATTTGTCTTATGTTACTTTATGAAATTATGAATCCAGTAATAATAATAATAATAATAATAATGGAAACTTTATTAAATGTTTTTCTTTACATACATATACAATCGTAAATCTCTCTCATAAAGGTAACTTACGGTTGGCTATTTGAATCACAACTATACTAGACTAAAATAACAGAACAAAGTGCATGCAATATATGTATATACAATCAGATAAGTCAAATTGTTAGTAAATCCGGATTTTCCCATTCCTTATTTCGGCAGCAAAAAATGTAATATGTAG